CCCCCAACAACCACTGGGGAGAGGAGAACCTACTCAATAAATGGTACTGGGTAAACTGGCTGACCACATGCAGAAGATTGAAACAGGACCCCTACCTATCACCATACACAAAATTTAACTCTAAATGGATCAAAGACCTAAATGTAAAACCTCAAAGTATACGAATCTGAGAAGATGCAGGAGACACCCTTATGGAAATTGGAACTGGCAACCAATTCCTATTCAGAACCCTAAAGGCCAATAACTTAAGAAATAAGATAGAAAAGTGGGACCTCATCAAACTAACAAGTTTCTGTAAAGCAAAAGAAACCATCAAGAGAGCAGGGAGACAGTCCACAGAATGGAAAAAAAATATTTGCCAACTGTATATCTGACAAAAGCCTAACATCTAGGATCTACAAGGAACTGAAATGCACCAAAAGGGAAAAAAAACAAGCATCCCCTTTAAAAAGTGGGCAAAAGACATAAATAGACACTTCTCAGAAGAAGATATAAGAGCAACCAGCTGACACATGTAAAAATGGTCAGCCTCACCCATCATCAGAGAAATGAAAATCAAAACCACATTGAGATACCACCTAACCCCTGTAAGAATGGCCATCATTAACAAAACAAACAACAACAGATGCTGGCAAGGATGTGAAGAAAAAGGAACGCTGCTACACTGCTGGTGGGATTGCAAACTAGTGCATCCTCTTTGGAAGACAGTGTGGCAATTTCTGAAAGAACTAGAAATTGACCTTCCATATGATCCAGCAATTCCCCTATTGGGAATAAACTCAGAGAACTCAATGATTTTGCAAAAAACATACCTGCACACGTTTGTTTGTTGCAGCTCTATTCACAATAGCAAAAACATGAAACCAACCATGTTGCCCATCAAAGTCGGACTGAATAAAGAAAATGTAGTACATATATACAATGGAATATTTTAGCCATAAAGAAGGACAAATATATGGACTTCACAGCAACTTGGATGGATTTGGAGTCAATCATACTCAGTGATTTATCACAGAAACAAAGAACAGAGTATCATATGTTCTCACTCATAAGCAGAACTTGAACAATTATAATACTATAAGAAAGCGTTTGGCAGTAATAGGAAACTGTCAGGGGAGGGGGGTGGGATTGGCAGCTGAGGGAAACTGCTAGGGGAGGGTGAGGCATACCTCATCATCAAGGGTACATGTTTGTTGATAATAATAATCAATGTTTGTATACCTAACCCTGAATTGTACCCCACATCTTTATAACAAAAAATAATAATAATAACAATAATTTTAAAAGAAAGGGATTGGCAGTAGCAGGACACTGCTGGGGTGGGGAAACATTGTAACATCAATTAGTGTACCTGATCTCAAACTAGGCAAAGTGGGGACAAAAGGGAGGCCCAAACTTTACCTGTACAATGAGCACTTATGTACCTATCCTGAACTGTACCCCACATCTTTAAAATAATAATAATAGTAATAATAAAAGACACAAAAATAGTTAACAAAACAGTATCAGATTGAATCCAGCAGTACATAAAAAGAATAATGTAATCAATGACCAAGTAGGACTTGTGCCACTAGTGTAAATTTGGTTTACATTTGAAAGTTAATAAATATAATTAAACCATATTAACAGCTTTAAACAGCAAAACCATATGATCATCTCAAAAGATACAGAAAAAAAATTTACAAAATTCGAAAGTCACTTATGGCAAAAAAAAAAAAAAAGATCAGAAAACCAAACTAAAAACAAAATTTTTCAATCTGATAACAAGTATCTATGAAAAACTTACAGAAAACACCATATTAAGGAAAACAGAGCAAAGTAAGATCATCTATTCTCACCACTCCTGTTCAACATACTGCACTGCGCAACAAAACACTGCAAAAGATGAATATGCCTCTTTTCTCATATCTGGCTAAATAAGATTTATTTTGTACCTCCTTCATGCTAATATGCTCATGGGCATTTGTTATTTTACAAGAAAAGGAAATATTCTTAAAAATGGACTTTAATATTCGCAAATTGGATCCAAATTTTATTGTAGCAAGAATCTTAGTATTCAGAGGTGTCTCTGGAAAGTGAAGAATTATCTTTATGATATGAATAACCATCTCACACATGCTGGTGTGGAAAGGCCACACATGATTACCTCTGTTTCAGTTCTTTTATAATGAAGATAATGGTGGCCAGGTTGCTGCTGCTTGTAATGAGCATGAGATTACCTTTATTTAAGAATGGGACCACCAGATAAGGACCAAAGTGAGGTCCAAACTTTACCTGTACAATGACCATTTGTATACCTAACCCTGAATTGTACTCCACATCTTTAAAATAAAAATTTTTATAAAAGAGAAAATAGGACCTAGGATAATGTGTCTTGGAAGAGCACCAGGACTGTGCCGTCAATGGAGCAAACCAGGAACTCCACCCTGAAGGAAGATCTCAGAGTTGGGACTCACATTCAATTTGTTTTGATTTGATTAAATTCTTTATTTCATATCTCCAAAAAATTAGATAAACTAACAAACAAACAGGCACAACATTATTTAATTAAGAAAAAGAAAAAAAAAACCCTGTTCTCTTGTGGCAGGTTCTATAATTGTTTCTCCCATGTGCTCTCTCCTGCAGTTTTCCTCTTTCACTCTCTCCCCAGTGTACAGAGCAGGGAAGGAAGGAGGCAGTGGGGATAAATGAGGGCTTCAGTCCTCCCCTCCCACTCTCTTATGGTCAGGGAGATCCCCTCCGGTGGGGAGGTGTGGGATTGTCACTTTCCCAGGTATGTACTCGTGGGGGGTGCCCGAGCCAGGCCTATCCTGGAATGGAGTTCTCATATTGTGACTGATGTCCAGGCTCCACCTGAGTTTTTCCACCTCAGTTGTGGCCCAGCTGTATCGGTCTGAAGTTCAGAGAATTGCTGGGGAGGAGGGGATTTGGGTCAACCCCTGAGTCACCACTGATCTCTTTGGAGTTCTTCCTCATCCTTTTCTGGTCATACCCTTTGTCCCATGATTGGATCAAAGTAGGGAGTGGGATGCCTGGGACTCAGTAATTGTCAGGTTCCTTTGAAGTTTGTGCTTTCAGAATATCCCCTCTGGGTCACAATCAATCCCCGAGTAGCTGTTCCACCAGTCACAGAGATCACGAACTGTTGCTCCGTAGTGAACAAGTAGGAGAACTTTCCTGCCCCGCCTTCAAGATGGTGGCAGGGTTCCCCTCTCATCCTCTGTGGTGGGACTCTGCCTCTGTGCTCCCTCCACAGCCCTTGCTGCCAGTGTCCAGCAGGGGCTGAAGTGGTGAGGCAAAGCCTGGAGCCGGCAGTCTCTCCTGCTGCAGTGCTGAGGCAGAGCCTGGGGTCGGTAGTCTCTCCTCCCACCACTTCTTTGCAGGAAAACTTTTGACCATGAAAAAAATGGCACTTGGCTTCTGTGACCTGAGAAGTACTAGGGGCCAAGCAGAGAAGCAGCAACACCAGCTGCTGCATCAGGAGGGCCCTAGCCACTTGTTCATGAGCCCCCACTTAGTCAGTCTCTCCCAGCATTTTCTTCCCAGGAAGGGTTTTGTTGATTTTTTAAAAAATGGTACTCAGCTTCGGCATCCCAGGAATCACTGGAGTCCAAGATGAGCAGCAGTGCCACCAGCTGCTGCACCAGGAGAACCCTGGCACTAGCTCCCTAGCCCTCACTCATTCAGCCACTCACATGCTCACTGACTCACCAGCATGCACACAAAAATTTTCTATACACTCACTCACACACACCAGGACTCATATAGTCTGACTGACCGGCTTCCATCTTCCAGCAGCCTCATTGTGTCTTTCAGTGGAAAGTTCTGCTCAGGGTGGCTGCATGGCATGTAACATCATAGGTGAGTGCATGACTGAAATTTGTTGTCATGACCCATGATTCACAAGTCACTGAGGGTCATCACAACAATTAGGAGTTCTTGTCAGGGAGGCCAGCTGAACCTTGACCAATACATATAGTTTTTCTCACAAAACCTGGATGAAGTGGAACAAAAAAACAGCTTTGAGATTATCTCGGCCTACCGTTAGATGAGTCCCAAGTTCCTTGTCCAAATGCAGGAAGAAGTGGGTTTTGTCCTACTCTACCAAAACAAAGAATCAGGCTCATTGAAACATAATAAAGTTTTCTCTGGCTCAAGTTGTGAATAGCCATGGCCTCTGCTGGGGATCTTCTGAGGAAGCAGGGAATCTGGAATGGTGACACAGCAAAGAGATTCTGCCAGACCCATGGAAGGGGACACAAAAGTCAGAAAAGGACATGCTATGCTTTTTGAAAACCACCATCTCTCACCATGCCCAAGCTATATGACACCGTACCCTGTCTATACTTGGCTCCTTTTCCTTCAGCCTACAGGACAGATTCCACATGAGCAGGTATCTCATTTTATCTTATTGTAGAGGAAACACTTGTGTGAGGCAGCATCCCTAGGGAAGTGCCAGACTACTTGTTGACACACCCTGTCTTCCTCCTTTTCACGAAGATCCTGGCCTTAGAGGTCTTGGGAATAAGCTTCAATCTCTGAGACAAAGGCTGTCAGTTAGGGGCCTGGCCTCAAGTTCACTGATAGTTAAATGCTCTCTAGAAGTCTGTTCTCTTGTTGAATTGTGGTGAGCATATGGGCATACATAAAATGAATGTGGGGAAGGTGAATCCCTAGCTTGGTCAATGATAAGATCGTTATATTGTCTGAAGAGAGATGATGACTTAAAAACTATGCTCAATATGATTACGCTGAAGTCCAGTTTAGGTGATTATTGTGGGAACCAACATGCTTATGATGATGACCCTGACATGGCTGTTGTCTTTAGACTAGGGAACTCTAAGTCTTGGAGTTCATCTTTGGGTGTCCAAACCTGTGGATGAAATCCTCCACCATATTGCCCAATTTGATCATTAGGTCTTGACCCCTTCTCAAGAAGCAGGGCACTTTAGCACCCCCTTCCTTAGCGCCTATTCTCTCTTTGTGTCTTTTAGTGGAACGTTCTGCCCTTATTGGCTCCACGGCATGCACCATCATAGGTGAGTGCATGGCGGGGACTGGGAGTCATGACTTATGACTCATAATATACTGAGGGCCATTTGAGGGACAGGAGTTCTTAATCATGGAATCTAACTGAACCTCAACAAAATGTGTGTACATTTTCTCTCAGGACCTGACTGAGGCTGGATAAAAAGAAACCTTGAGATGCTCTCAGCCTGCTGTTAGATGAGTCCCAAGTGTCTCTTCCAAATGCAGGGAGAGGTGGGTTTTGTCGAGCTTGACAAAAATAGAACACTCAGACTCTTGAAACATAATAAAGGTTTCTTTGGCTCACGTTTTGCATGGCCATGGCCTCAAAACTATGCATCTTCTGAGGTCACAGGGAGCACGGAATAGTGACACAAAGAAAGGAGAGTCTGCCAAAGCCATGCTGAGAGAGGACACAAAAATCAAAAAAACATGCGCCATGCTCTGTTGAAACCAGCATCTCTCTTGAGGACTCAAGATGTGAGAACTCACTCATTACAAGCAGTAGGTAAGATTCACCCATTCCAAATATTGCCCAAGAAACCCAAGTTTAACACCTACGATATGAAGGACACACATCATAAATGTATACCCTGTACCCTGTCGGTGCTGTGGGCTGTGGTTTCTGGTTCTGAGGAATCATCAGTCTTCACATGAAAAAAAGGTCCCACCTAATAGGTATCTCATCCCATCGTTTTGTGGAGGAAAGACTTGTGTGAATCAGCATCCCTGTGGAAGTACCAGTTTTCTTGTTGACATGCCCTTTTTTCCTTTTTCCCAGATCCTGGCCTCAAAGAAGTTCTTGGAAATAAGCTGCTGTCCTCAGGAAAAGGGTTTCAGCCAGGTGTCTGGTCTCGAATCCTCTGAAAATCAAAGACTCTCCAGAATGCTGGTACTTGTTGACTTGTGGTGAGCATCCGGGCGTACTTGAAATGGATGTGGGGATGGGAGGAGCTTGGGTTGGATCAATGATGAGGACTTTATATTGTCTTAAAGAGAGGCGATGACTTAAAAATCATGCTCAATAGCATTGCACTATGCCCAGGCTAGAAGACTGCTGTGGAAAACAACATGGGAATGATGTTTGCTTTGGCAGTTATATTGCATTTTGTGCTGGAGAACTCCAGACCCTGGAGGGCATCTTGGGGGCACAACCATATGAATGTGCTCTTCCATGAAATTGCCCAATGTTATCCTTATATCTTGGCCCTTTTACACATGCCGGGGCACTTTAGCAGCCCCTTGCTTGCACCATTACAGGTGAGTGTATGACTGTGGTCGGTTGTCATGACCCATGATTCACAAGTCACTGAGGGTCACCGTAACAATTAGGAGTTCTTGCTCATGGAGGCAAGCTGAACCTTTACTAATACGTGCAGTTTTTCTCTCAAGACCTGGGTGAAGTTGGACAATAAAGGACTTTGAGATTCTTTTGGCCTGCTGTTAGATGAACCCCACATGCCTTGTCCAGATGCTGGGAGAATTGGTTTTTGTCCTGCTCTACAGAAACAAGAGAATCAGTCTCATTGAAACATAATAAAAGTTTCTATGACTCAAGTTGTGAATGGCCATTTCCTCTGCTGGGTATCTTCTGAAGACTCAGGGAGCCTGGAATGGTGGCACAAAGCAAATAGAGTCCACTGTATCCACGGTGAGAGGGGGCACAAAAGTCAAAAAAGTACGTGACATGTTTTTTGGAACACACCATCTCTCTTGAGAGCTCAAGATGTGAGAACACACTCATTAAAACCTACTGGCAGAATGCCCTCATTGCCCACGTGGCCGTGAAACCCAATTTTTGACACTGAAGACCACTTTTCAGTCTGAGATATGAAGGGACACACATTAAAGCTGTATCACCCAGTATCCTGTCTGTACATGACTCCTGACCCTGAGGGACCATCAATCTTGAGTCTACGGGACAGGTTCCATGTTACCAGGTATCTCATCCCATCATTTTGTGGAGGAAATGCTTGTGTGAGGTAGCATCCCTAGGGAAGTGCCAGATTGCTTGTTGTCTCACCCTTTCTTCCTCCTTTTCACACAGATTCTGACCTCAGAGAAGCTATTGGTAATAATCTTATTCCCTTGAGACAAAGTGTTTCCATCAGTTTTCTGGCTTCAACTCTGCTGAAAGTCAAATATGCTCCAGAACTCTGATCCCCTGTGTTGACTTTTGGTGAGCATAAGAACATCTTTGAATTGGATGTGGGAAAGGTGGATCCCTGGCTTGAGTCTATGATGAGAACTTTATATTGTCTGAAGAGAGGTGATGGCTTAAAAACCATGCTCAATAGGATTATGCTGAGATTCAGCCTATGTGACAATTGTGGAAACCAATGTGGGGATGATTATAGCCCTGGCACATCTACTTTCTTTGGGTTGGAGAGCTCTAAGCCCTGCAATGCCATCTTGGTGTGCCTAACCCTATGGATGCACTCCTCCATGACATTTCCCAATTTGATCATTATTTCTTGACCCCTTCCCAAGAAGCAGAGTACTTTTGCAACCCCTTCCCTAGCTTCCATTCTCTCTTTGTGTCTTTCAGTGGAATGTTCTGCCCACTTTGGTACCATGGCACACACCATCATAGATGAGTGCATTGCTGAGATTGAGAGCCATTACCCACAATTCATAAGTCACTGAGGTTCACCTGAGAGATGGGTGTTCTTAGTCATGGAGCCAAACTGAAGCCTGACTAAATATGTGTACCTTTTCTCTCAAAAACTGGATGAGACCAGATAAAAAAGAGCTTTGAGATGACCTTGTCTTGATATTAGATGACCAGAATGTCTTTTCCAAACACACAGAGAAGTGCGTTTTGTAAATATGTACAGAAACTAGAGATCCTGGCTCTCTAAGACATTAAATTTTTCTTTGGGTCAAGTCATGCATGACTATGGCCTCAGCTTTGCATATTCTGAGGTCTCAGGGAACATGGAAAAGTGACACAAGGAAAGAATTTCTACCAGGCCCATGTTTGAGAGGGGCACTAATGTCAGAAAAAGATGTACCGTGCTCATTTGATCCAGCATCTCTCTTGAGACCTCATGAATTGAGAATTCACACATTGCAAACAGAAGGTGGTATCCCCCATTCTTTTCTCCCAGATCCTGGCCTCAAAGAATGTCTTGGAAAGAAGCTGCTTTTCCCAGGACAAAGGTTTTCAGCCAGGTGCCTGGCCTCGAATCCTCTGATAATCAAATAATCTCCAGAACTCTGGTCCTTGTAGACCTGTGATGAGCTTATGATCATCCTTGAAATGGATGTGGGGATGGTGGATCTCTGGGTTGGTTCAATGATGAGAACTTTATATTGTCTTGAAGAGATGTGATGACCTAGAAATCATGCTCAACAGGATTACTCTGAGGCCCAGGTGTGGTGACAATTGTGAAAACTGATGTGGGGATGATAATGGCCCCAGAAAGGCTATTGTGTTTTGTGCTGGAGAACCCCAAGCCCCAGAGAGCATCTTGGAGTGCACATCCCCATGGAAGCACTCATCCATGAAATTGTGCAATGTTATCCTTATGTCTTGGTCCTCTTCCCAAGAAGCAGGGTTCTTTATCAGTCCCTTCCTCAGCTCCCAATCTCTCTTTGTGTCTTTCTGTGGAATGATCTGCCAAGGTTTGCTCCATGACACGCACCATCATAGGTAAGTGCATGGCTGGGCTTGGAAGTCATGATCCATGATTCACAAGTCAATGAGGCTTACCCTGAGGGATCAGAGCTCTTAGTCATGGAGCTATGAAGCCCAACAAAATATTTGTACCTTTACTGTCAAGACCTGGGTGAGGCTGGATAAAAAGAGTTTTGAGGTGTTCTCAGTCCTCTGTTAGATGAGTCCCAATTGTCTTGTTCAAACACAGGGAGAAATGGTATTTTAGTTCTATAAAAACAGGAGAGTCTGGCTCATTGAAACATACTAAAGGTTTCTTTGGCTCAAGTTGTGCATGGTCATGACTTCAGCTGGGCATCTTATGAGGTCTCAGGGAACATGGAATGATGACACAAAGAAGGAAGAATCTGCCAGACCTATGTTGCAAGGGGGCAAAAGTCAGGGGAAAAAAAAACGAGCCATGCTGTTTTGAAATGAGCATCTCCCTTGAGAACTCAAGAACTCAGAGTGAGAACTCACTCATTACAAGCAGCAAGTGGGATTCCCCCATTCCAAACATTGGTCAACAAACTCAATTTTTTACACTAGAGACCACCTTCCAAATTGAGATATTAAAAGACACACATCCAAAGTGTATCACCCAATACCATGTCTGTGCTGTGGGATGTGGCTCTTGGCCCTGGGGACCATCAGTCTTCAGCCTGAAGGATGGGCCCCACATGAACAGATATCTCATCTTGTAGTATTGTGAAGGAAAGACTGTGTGAAGCAGCATCTCTGTGTAAGTTCCCCTTTTCTTGTTGACACACACTTTTTTCCTCCTTTTCTCCCAGATCATGGCCTCAGAGAAGGTGATGGGAATATCTGCTGTCCCAGGGCTAAAGGGTTTCACCTGGCCTCATTTCCTCTGAAAATCAAATAGTCTCCAGAATTCTGGTCTTTGTTGACCTGTGGTGAGCATATGGGCATCATTGAAATGGATATGGAGATGGCAGATCCTTGGGTTGGGTCAATGATGAGAACTATGTATTGTCTTGAAGAGAAGTAATGACTAAGAAATCATTCTCAATAAGGTTATGTTGAGGCCAAGGATAGGTCACAATTGTGAAAACTGACGTGGAAATGACGATGGCCCTGCAGAGCTATTGAGTTTTGCCTGGAGAACTCCAAGCCCTGGAGGCTACCTTTAGGTGCACAACAATCTGGATGCACTCCTCCAAGAAATTGCCCAATTTTATCCTTATGTCATCGCCCTCTTCCTGAGGGCAGAGCACATTATCAGGCCCCTGCTTAGCACCCAATTTCTCTTTTTGTTTTTTGACCTTCAGTGGAATGTTCTGCTCAGGTTGGCTCCATGGCACACACCATCATAGGGAAGTGCACAGCTGAGATTGGTTTTCATGACCTCTAATTCACAAGTCACTGAGGGTCATCATAACAAATAGGAGTTCTTGGTGTTGGAGTGAAGCTGAATCCTGACCAATACATGTAGTTTTTCTCTCAAGACCTGGGCGAGGTGGGAAAAAAGGAGCTTTGAGATGCTCTCCGCCTGTTGTTAGATGAGTCCCAAGTGCCTTGTCCAAATGCAGGGAGAAGTGGGTTTAGTCCTGCTATACAGAAACAATAGAATCAGGCTGATTGAAGCACAATAAAGGTTTCTATGATTCAAGTTGTGAATGGCCATGGTTTCTGCTGTGCATCTTCTGAGGTCTCAGGGAGCATGGAACGGTGGCCTATGGCAAACATACTCCACCGGATCCATGGTGGGAGGAGGCACAACAGTCGGAAAAGGATGTGTCATGCTTTTCTGAAAACACCATTTCTCTTGAGAAGTCAAAAAGTGAACACACACACATTAAAGCCAGCAGGCAGAATTTCCCCATTACCAACGCTGGCCACTAAACCCAATTTTTGACAATGAAGATTACTTTCCAACCTGAGATCGAGAGGATACACAGCCAAGCTGTATCACTCAGTACCCTGTCTGTACTTGGCTCTCGGCCCTGGGGGACTCTTGGAACTCAACCAACAGAACAGATCCCATGTGACAAGTTATCCCATCATTTTGTGGAGGAAATGCTTGTGTGAGGCAGCATCCATATGGAAGTGACAGATCCCTTGTTAACACACTCTGTCTTCCTCCTAATCACACAGATTCTGGCCTCAGAGAAGGTCTTTGGAATAAGCTTCTGCTCCCAGGACAGAGGGTTTCAGCCAAGTACCTGGCCTCTAGTCCGCTGAAAGTCAAAACTCTCCAGAACTCTGGTCTCCTCTGTTGACTTGTGGTGAGCATATGGGCATACTTGAATTGGATGAGGGGAAGGCAGACACCTGGCTTGGGTCAATGATGAGAACTTTATATTGACTGAAGAGAGATGATGACCTAAAAATCATGCTCAACAGGATTACGCTGAGGCCCAGCCTAGGTGACACTTGTGGAAACTGACAAAGGGATGATGAAGGCCCTGGCAGGGCTACTGTCTTTGGGTTGGAGAACTCTAAGCCCTGAAGGTCATCTTCGGGTGACAAACTCTGTGGATGCACTGCTGCATGAAATTGCCCAATTTGATCATTATATCTTGACCCCTTACCAAGAAGCAGGGCACTTTAGCAGTACCTTCCTTACCTCACAATCTCTCTGTGTCTTTCAGTAAAATGTTCTGCCCATGGTGGCTCCATGGCATGCACCATCAGAGGTGAGTGTGACTGGGGTTGAGAGTCATGACCCCTGATTCTCAAGTTGCTGAGGGCCATCCTGAGGAAAGAGAGTTCTTAGTCATGCATTCAAACTGAGCCATGAACAAATATATTTACCCTTTCTCTCAAGACCTGGGTGAGGATGGATTAAAAAAGAGTTTTGAGAAGCTTTTGGCCTACTGTTAAATGAGTCCCATGTGTCTTATCTATACGCAGAAGTGTGTTTTGTCGAGCACTACAGAAAAAGGACAATGTGGCTAGTTGAAACATACTAAAGGTTTTAGGATCCCTGTGGCAGTGCCAGTTTTTCTTGTTGACATGCTCTTTTTTCCTCCATTTCTCTTAGATTCTTTTTTCAGAGGAGGTCTTGGGAATATGCTACTGTTTCTGGGACAAAGAGTTTCAACTCTGCTGAAAGTCAAACACTCTGCAGAACTCTAGTCCTCTGTATTGACTTGTGGTGAGCATTTGGGTATCCTTCAAATGAATGCAGGAAAGGCAGATCTCTGACTTGGGTCAATGATGAGAAATTTATATTGTCTGAAGAGAGGTGATGACCTAAAAATCATGCTCAATAGGATTACTCTGAGGCCCAGCCTAGGTGACAATTGTGGAAATGAATGTGAGGATGATGATGGCCCTGGTAAGACTATTGTCTTTAGGCTGGAGAACTCTAAGCCCTAGAGGCCATTTTGAGGATCCCAAACCTGTGGATGCACATCTCCACGAATTTCCCAATTTGATCATTATGTCTTGACCCCTTCCCAGGAAACAAGGCATTTTAGCAACCTTTTCCTTAGGTGCTAATCTGCCTTTGTGTCTTTCAGTGGAATGTTCTACCTAGGTTGGCCCCACAGCACACACCATCATAGGTCATGACCCATGATTCACAAGTCTCTGAGGGTTATCTAACAAAGGAGTTCTTGGTCATGGAGGCAAGCGGAATCCCGACCAATATGTGTAGTTTTTCTCTCAAGACCTAGGTGAGCCTGGATACTAAAAAGCTGTGAGATACTCACGGTCTGATGTTAGATGAGCCACAAGTGCCTTGTCTAAATGCAAGAAGAAGTGGGTTTTGTCCCATTCTACAGATACAAGAGAATCAGGTTCATTGAAACATAATAAAGGTTTCTATGCCTCAAGTTTTGAATGGCCAAGTTCCTTGCTGGGCATCTTTTGAGGACTCAGGGAGTTTGGAATTGTGGCACAAAGCAAAAAGAGTCCACCAGTCCCATGGTGAGAAGGGGCACAAAAGTCAGAAAAAGATGTTCCATGCTCTTTTGAAACCACCATCTATTCTGAGAACTCAAGAAGTGAGATCTCACTCATTAAAATCAGCAGGCAAGATTCCCATTAATAACATTGGCCATGAAACCCAATTTTTGACACTGAAGGCCACTTTCTAACTTAAGATCTGAGGGGACACACATCCAAACTGTATCATCCAGTACCCTGTCTGTTCTTGGCTCCTGGCCCTGGGTGATCAAAAATCTTCAGCCTGCAGACTAGGTCTCACATGATCATGTATCTCACCCAACATTTTGTGGAGGAAATGCTTCTGTGAGCAGCATCCCTATTGAAGTGCTGGGTTGCTTGTTGACATTCCCTGTCTTTTTCTTTTTCTCTCAGATCCTGACCACAGAGAAGGTCTTGGAAATAAACTGCTATCCCTGGGACAAAGGGTTTCTGTCAGGTGCCTGACTTCAAGTACATTGAAAGTCAAATACTCTCCAAATATGTTTCCTTTTGTTGACTTATGGTGAGCATATGGACATCCTTGAAATACATGGGGGAAAGTGGAACCCTGGCTTAGATCAATGATGAGAACTTTTTATTGTCTGAAGAGAGGTGATGATTTAAAAATCATGCTTAATAGGATTATGCTGAGGCCAACCTGGATGACAATTGTGAAAACCAACGTGGGGATGATGATAGCCTTGACAGGGCTATTGTCTTTGGCCTGGAGAACTCTAAGTCCTGAAAGTCATATTGCAGTGCCCAACCTTGTGTGTGCACTCTTCCACAAAATTGCTCAATTTGATTGTTATGTCTTGACTCCTTTCCAAAAGTAGGGCACTTTAGCAGCCCCTTCCTTACCTCCCAATCTCTCTCTGTGTCTTTCAATGGGATGTTCTGCCCAGGTTGACGTCATGTCATGCACCATCATAGGTGAGTGCATGACTGGAATTGGGCGTCATGACCCATGATTCACAAGTCAGTGAGGGTCACCATGAGGAATTGGAGTTATTAGTCATGGAGGCAAAATGAGCCAAGAAAAAATATATTTTCTCTCAAGACCTGGGTGAGGCTGGATAAAAAAGAGATTTGGAATTCTCTCAGCCTGATGCTAGATGGGCCCCAAGTGTCTTGTCCAATCGCAGGGAAAAGTGGGCTTTGTTGAGCTCTACAGAAACAAAAGAGCCTTGTTCATTGAACCATACTAAAGGCTTCTTTGGCTCAAGCTGTGAATGGTTATGTTCTCAGCAGGCCATCTTCTGAGGTCTCAGGGAGCATGGAATGGTGACACAAAGAAAGGAGAGACAGCAGAAGCCATGTTGAGAGGGAACACGAAAGTCAGAAAAACATGTGCCATGCTCTTTCAAAATTAGCATCTCTCTTGAGAACTAAAGAAGTGAGAACTCACTCATTACAAGGAGTATGCAGGATTTTCCTATTCCCAACATTGACAAAGAACCCAATTTTTACACTTGAAACAAACTTCCAAAATATGATATTAGAGGACACACATCCACAGTACATCACTCAGCACCATGTCTGTGCTATGTTCTGTGACTCCTGTGCCACAGGGGGATCATCTGTCTTCAGCCTGAGCAGAGGTTAATGTGAAAAGGTAACTCATTCCATTGTTTTGTGGAGGAAAGGCATGTGTGAGTCAGCATGCCTGTAGACATGCCAGTTTTCTGTTGACATGCCCTTTTTTCCTCCTTTTCTACCAGATCTTAGTCCTGGAGAAGGTGCTTGGGAATAAGCTGCTTGGGAATAAGCTGCTGTCCTGGGGACAAAGGGTTTCAATGAAGTGCCTGGTCTGTAATCCTCTGAGAATCAAATACTCTCCAGAACTCTGGTCCATGTTGACCTGTGGTGAGCATATGGGTGTCCTTGAAATGGATGTTGGGATGGCAGATCTCTGTGTTTGGTCAATGATGAGAACTTTGTTGTCTAGAAGAGAGGTGATGATTTAAAAATCATGCTCAATAGGATTACACTGAGGCCCAGGCTATTTGACAATTGTGGAAAATAGTGTGGGAATGATGGTGGTCCTGGCAGGGCTATGGTGTTTGGAGTTGGAGAACTCCAATCCCCATAGGCCATCTTGGGGTACACAATCCTGTGGATGAGCTCCTCCATGATACTGCCCAATTTCATACTTATGTCTTGTCCCTCTTCCAAGATGCAGGGAACTTCAGCAACCCCTTGCTTGGGCCCAATCTCTCTTTATATCTTTCAGTGGAATGTTCTGTCCAGGTTGGCTCCACAGCACCCATCATCACAGGTGAGTGCATGACTGGAATTGGTTGTCATGTCCCATGATTCGAAAGTCACTGAGAGTCATCTGACAAATAAGAGTTCTTGGTCATGAAGGCAAGCTGAATTCCAACCAATATGTGTAGCTTTTCTCTCAAATCCCTGGGATATAAAAGAACTTTGAGATGCTCTCTGGCTGCTGCTAGATGAGCCCCAAGTAACTTGTCCAAACACAGGGAGTAGTGGGTGTTCACCCTCTCTACAGAAACAAGAGAACCAAGCTCTTTGAAACATAATGGTTTCTATGGCTCAATTTGTGATGTCCATGGCCTCTGCTGGGCATCTTCTGAGGATTCAGGGAGCTTGGAATGATGGCACAAAGCAAAGAGAGTCCACCTGACCCATGATGAGACAAAAGTCAGAAAAACACATGCCTTGCTCTTTTGAAACCACCATCAAACTCAAGATGCCAGAACACACCAATTGAAACCAGCAGGCAGGAATCCCCCACTACCAACATGGCCACGAAACCCAATTTTTGACACTGTAGATGACTTTCCAAGCTGAAATCTGAGGGAACACACATTCAGGTTGTATCATCCAGTACTCCGTTGTACTTGGCTCCTGGCCCTGGGATGCCATCAGTCTTTAGTCTACAGGACAGGTATAACTTGATCATGTATCTCAATCCAATGTTTTATGGAGGAATAGACATTGTAAGGCAGCATCCCTATGGAATTTCTGGACTGCTTGTTGACACTCCCAGTCTTCTTCCTTTTCACGTGGATTCTGGCTTCAGAGAAGGTCTTTGGAATAAGCTGCTGCCCCTGGGATAGAGAGTTTCAGCCTGACCTCCATCTGCTGAAAGTCAAATACTCTCCAGAATTCTGGTCCCCTGTGTTGACTTCTATTGAGTTTATGCACATCTTTGAAATAGATGCAAGAAAGGCAGATCTCTGGCTTGGGTCAATGATGCGAACTTTATATTGTCTGAAGATAAGTGATGTCTTAAATACCATGCACAATAGTATTACGCTGAGGTCCAGTTTAGATGACAATTGTGGAAATGAACATGAGAATAATGATGGCCCTAGCAGGGCTATTGTCTTGGGGCTGAAGAACTCTAAGCCCTGGAGGCCATCTTGGGTTGCCCAAACCTGTGGATGCACTCCTCCATGAAATTGCCCAGTTTGATCATTATGTCTTGACCCCTTCCCAAGAAGCAGGTCACTTTAGTAGCCTTTTCCATAAGGGCCAATCTCTCTTTGTGTCTTTCAGTGGAATGTTCTGCCCAGGTTGGCTCCATGGAATGTACCATCATAGGTGAGTGCATGACTGGGATAGAATTGGTTGTCATGACCCAGGATTTAAAGTCTCTGAGGGTCATTAAACAAATAGGAGTTCTTGGTCACGGAGGCAAGTGAATCCCGACCAATATGTGCAGTTTTTCTCTCAAGACCTTGGTGAGCCTGGATAAAAATGGGCTCTGAGATGCTTGTGGCCTACTGTTAGATGAGCCCCAAGAGCTTTGTCCATACATAAGGAGGAGTGGGTTTTGTCCTGCTCCACACAAACAAGAGAATCAGGCTCATTGAAACACAAGATAGGTCCTTATGGCTCATGGCTCAAGTTTTTAATGGCCAAGTCCTCTGCTGGGCATTATCTGAGGACGCAGAGAGGTTGAAATTGTGGCACAAAGCAAAGAGAGTCTGCCAGTCCCATGGTGAGAAGAGGCATTAAAGTCAGAAAAAGATGTGCCATGCTCTTTTAAAAACCACCATCTCTCTGGAGAACTCAGGAAGTGAGATCTCACTCATTAAAACCAGCAGGCAGGATTCCCCATTAGCAACATTGGCCACAAAATGCAATTTATGATACTGGAGTTGTTTACAACCTGAGATGCAAGGGGACATACATCCAAGCTGTATCACCCAGTATCCCATCTGTACTTGGCTCCTGACTCTGGGGGAACATCAATCTTCAGGCCACAGGACAGGTCTCAATTGACCAGGTATCTCATTCCATCGTTCTGTGGAAGAAATGCTTGTGTGAGGCAGCATCCCTATGCAAGTGCCTGACTGCTTGTCAACATGCCTTGTCTTTTTCTTTTCATGCATCCTAGCCTGAGAGAAGGTCTTGGGAATAAGTTTCTGCCCCCAGGCAAAAGGTTTCAGTCAGGTGCCTGTCCTCAAGTCCACTGAAAACTAAATACTCTCCAGAACTCTGGTCACCTGTGTTGATTTGTGGTGCACATATAAGCATCTTGAAATAAATGCAAGGAAGGCTTGGGTGAATGATGAGAACTTTATATTGTCTGAAGAGAGGTGATGACTTAAAAATTGTGCTCAGTAAGATTACGCTGAGGCCCAGCCTAGGAGACATTGTGGAAACCAATATGGGGATAATGATGGCCCTGGCAGGGCTATTGTCTTTGGCCTGGAGAACTATAAGACTTGGAGGTAATCTTGGGGTACCCAATCCTGTGGATGCATTCTTCGACGAAATTGCCCAATTTGATCATTATGTCTTGACTCCTTTCCAAGAAGTAGGGCACTTTAGCAGCCCCTTCCTTACCTCCCAATCTTTCTTTGTGTTTTTCAATGAAATGTTCTGCCCAGGTTGGCTCCATGGCATGAACCATCATAGGTGATGCATGGCTGGGATTGGGCGTCATGACCCATGATTCACAAATGCTGAGGGTCACCCTGAGGGAGAAGAGTTATTAGTCATGGAGCCAAACTGAGCCCAGACAAAATATGTGTACCTTTTCTCTCAAGACCTGGGTGAGGCTAGATAAAAAAAGCTTTAGTATACTCTCAGTCTCATGTTAGATGAGCCCCAGCAGTCTTGTCCAAATGCAGGGAGAAGTGGGTTTTGTTGAGCTTTACAGAAACAAGAGAGCTTGGTTCATTAAAAATGCTAAAGGTTTCTTTGGCTCAAGCTGTGCATGGCCATTGCCTCAGCTGGCCATCTTCTGAGGTCTCAGGGAGTGTGAAATGGTGACATAAAGGAGAGTCTTCTGGAGCCATATTGAAAGGGGACACAAAAGTCAGGAAAACATGTGCCAGGCTTTTTCAAAATCAGCATCTCTCTTGAGAACTCAAGAAGTGAGAGCTCACTCATTACAAGCAGTATGTGGGAATACCCCATTTCCCACATTGACTAAGAACCCAATCTTTAACTGGGGACCAACTTCCAAAATGAGATTTGAGAGGACATGTATCCCTAGTATATCACCCAGTACCATGTCTGTGCTATGTTCTGTGTTTTCTGGCCCTGGAGGACCATGCTTCTTCAGCTGAACAACAGGTCTTATATGAACAGGTGACTCATCCCATCCTTTTGTGGAGGAAGAGCATGTGTGAGGCAGCATGCCTATGGAAGTGCCAGTTTTCTTGGTGACACACCCTTTTTCCTTCTTTTCTATCAGATCCTAGCCTCAGAGAAGGTCTTGGGAATAAGCTGCTATCCCAGGAACAAAGGGTTTCAGCAAGGTGCCTGGTCTAAAATTCTCTAAAAATCAAATACTATCCAAAACTCTGGTCCTTATTGACCTGTGGTGAGCATATGGGTGTCCTTGAAGTGGATGTGGGGATGGCAGATCCCTGCATTGGGTCAATGATGAAAATTTTATATTGTCTGGAGAGCAGTGATGACTTAAAAATCATGCTCAATAGGATTATGATGAGGCCTGGGATATTTGACAATTGTGGAAACCAGCGTGGGGATTATGATGGCCCTGGCAGGGCTATTGTGTTTTGGGCTGGAGAAATACAAGCCCTGGAGGCCATCGAGGGGTATACAACTCCTTGGATGAGCTTCTCCCAAAACTTGCTGAATTTTATCCTTATACCTTGGCCCTCTTATCAAGATGCAGGGACTTTGGCAGTCCCTTGCTTAGCACATGATCTCTCTTTGTGCCTTTCAGTGGAATGTTGTGCCCAGGTTGGTTTCATGGCATGCATCATCATAGATGAGTACTTGGCTAGGATTGGTTGTCATAACACATTATTCAAAAATCACTAAGTCATTTAACAAACAAGAGTTCTCAGTCATGGAGGCAAGCTGAATCCCGACCAATATGTGCAGTTTTTCTCTCAATACCCAGGTAAAACCACCATCTCTCCTTAAAACTCAAGATATGAGAACACATACATTAAAAAGCAGCAGGCAGGATACCCCCATTACCAACGTTGGGTATGAAACCCAATTTTTGACACTGGAGACCAGTTTCCAACCTGAGATCCGAGGAGACACATATCCAAGCTGTGTCATCCAATACCCTGTCTATACTTGGCTCCTGGCCCTGGGGGACTGTCCGTCTACAGCCTACAGGACAGTTCTCACATGACAATATACCTCATTACAAAGTTTTGTGGAGAAATTGTTGCTGTGAGGTAGCATCCCTATGGAATTGCTGGACTGCCTGTTGACACACCCTGTGTTCCTCCTTTTCACACAGATTCTGGCCTCAGAGAAGTTCTTGAAAATAAGCTGCTGCCCCCAAGACAAAGGGTTTCAGTCAGTCAGGTGCCTGTCCTCAAGTCTGCTGAAAGCAATATACTCTCCAGAACTCTGGACCCTGTGTTGACTTGTGGTAAGCATTTGAACATCCTTGAAATGAATACAGAGAAGGAGGAACCATGGCTTAGGTCAATGATGAGAACTTTATATTGTCTGAAGAGAGGTGATGACTTAAAAATCATGCTCAATAGGATTATTCTGAGGCCCAGCCAAAGTGACAATAGTGAAAACTGATGCGAGGATGATGATGCCCCTGGCAGGGCTATTGTCTTTGGGCTAAAGAACTCTAAGTCCTGGAGGCTATCTTGGAGTGCCCAACACTGTAGATGCACTCTTCCATGAAATTGCCCAAATCATTGTTATGTCTTGACTCCTTCCCAAGAAGCAGGGCACTTTAGCCCTTTCTTACCTCCCAATCTCTCTTTGTGTCTTTCAATGGAATGTTCTGCCCAGGTTGGCTCTATGGCATGCAGCATCATAGATGAGTGCATGAATGGGAATGGAAGTCAAGACCCAGGATTCACAAGTCATGAGGTTCACCCTGAAGGATAGGAGTTCTTACTCATGGAGCCAAACTGAGCCCAGACAAATTATGAGCATTTTTCTCCCAAGACCTCAATGAGGCTGGATAAAAAAGAGCTTTGGATGCTCTCAGCCTGCTGTTAGATGAACCCCAATTTATTTGTCTAAACACAGGGAGAAATGGGTTTTGCTGAGCTCTACAGAAACAGGAGAGCCTGGCTCATAGAAACATACCAAAGGTTTCTTTGGCTCAACCTGTGCATGACCATGGCCCCAGCTGGGATTCTTCTGAAGTCTGAGGGAGCATGCACTGGTGACACAAACAAAGGAGAGTCTGTCGGAACCAATGTTGAGAGGTGACACTAAAGTCAGAAAAAAATGTGCCATGCTTTTTTGAAACCAGCATCTCTCTTGAGAACTCAAGAAGTGATTACAAGCAACAGGTGAGATTCCCCCATTCCAAACACTGGCCAAGAAACCCAATTTTTAAACCACTTTCCAAATTGAGATATGAGAGGCCACGCATTCAAAATGTATCACCCTGAACCCTGTGTGTGCTGTGCTCTTTGGCTCCTGGTCCTGGGGCATCAGTAGACTTCACCTGAAAAATGAGGTCCCACCCGAACAGGTATCTCATCCAGTCATTTTGTGGAGGAAACACTTGTTGAGGCAGCATCCCTGTGGCCATGCCAGTTTTCTTGTTGACACACCTTTTATTTTCCTTTCCTCCTAGATTCTATACTCAGAGACAGTTTGGGAAATACGCTGCTGTCCCAGGGAAGGAAGGTTTCAGCCATGTGCCTTGCCCAGAATGCTCTGAAAATCAAATACTCTTTAGAACTCTGGATGTTGTTGACCTGTGGTAAGCATATTTACATCCTTGAAATAGATGCATGGATGGTGCATCCCTGTATTGGGTCAATAATGAGAACTTTATATTGTCTAGAACAGAGGTGGTGACTTAAAAATCATGCTCAATAGGATTACGATGAGGGCCAGACTATTAGACAATTGTAGAAACCAGTGTGGGGATGATGATGGCACTGCAAAGCTATGGTGTTTTGGACTGGAGAACCCCAAGCCCTGGAGGCCTTCTTGGGTTGCTCAACCCTGTGAATATGCTCCTACATGATATGCCCAATTTCATTCTTATGTATTGACTCTCTTACCAAGATGCAGGGAACTTTAGCAGTCTCTTGCTTAGCACCCAATCTCTCTTTGTGTCTTTCAGTGGAATGTTCTTCCCAAGTTGGTTCCATGGCATGCATCATCATAGGTGAGTGAATGACTGAGATTGATTGTCATGCCCAATGATTCAAAGGCACTGAGAGTCATCTAATAAATAGGAGTTTTTGTTCGTGGAAGCAAGTTGAATCCCAACCAATATGTGTAGTTTTTCTCTCAATACCTGGGCGTGGCTGGATATAAAACAGCTCTGAGATGCTCTTGACCTGCTGTGAGACAAGCGCCAAGTGCCTTGTCCAAATGCAGGGAGTAGTGGGTTTTCACTCGCTCTACAGAAGCAAGAGAATCAGGCTCATTGAAACATAATAATGGTTTCTATGGCTCAAGTTGTGAATGGTCATGACCTCTGCTGGGCATCTTCTGAGGACTCAGAGAGCTTGGAATGATGGCACAAAGCAAAGAGAGCCTGCTGGACCCATGGTGAGAGGGGGCACAAAAGTCAGAAAAAGACATGCCATGCTCTTTTGAAACAACCCTCTTGAGAACTCAAGATGTAAGAGCACACTCATTAAAACCAGCAGGCAAAATTCCCACATTACCAACATTGGCCATGAAACCCAATTTTTGACACTGGAGACCACTTTCCAACCTGAGATCTGAGGGGACACATATCCAAGCTATATCATTCAGTACCCTGTCTGTACTTGACTCCTGACCCTGTGGTATTGTCAATCTTTAGCCAACAGGGCAGGTCGCATATTACCATGTATCTCATTCCAACGTTTTGTGGAGGAAACGCTTCTGTGAGGCAGCACCTCTATGGAAGTGCCAAATTGCTTATTGACATGCCCTGTCTTTCTCTTTTTCACACAGATCCCAGCCTCAGGGAAGATCCTGGGAAAATGTTGCTGCCCCTGGGATAAAGGGTTTCAGCCAGGTGCCTGGCCTCAACTCTCCTGAAGGTTAAACACACTCTAGAACTCTGGTCCCCTCCATTGACTTGTGGTGAGCAAATGGGAATCCTTGAAATGGATGTGGGGAAGGCAGATTGCTGGATTTGGTCAATGATGAGAACTTTATACTGTCTAAAGAGATGTGATGACTTAAAAATCATGCTTAATAAGATTATGCTGAGGCCCAGCTTATGTAACTATTGTGGAAATGAGCGTGAAGATGATGATGGCCCTGGTAGGGCTATTGTCTTTGGGCTGGAGAACTCTAATCCCCAGAAGACATCTTGGAGTGTTCAAACCTGTAGATGCACTCCATGAAATTGACCAACTTGATCATTATGTCTTGACCTCTTCCCAAGAAGAAGGGCACTTTAGCAGCCTTTTCCTTAGTTGCCAATCTCCCTTTGTGTCTTTTGGTGGAATATTCTGCCCAAGTTGGTGCCATGGCATGCACCATCACAGGTGAGTGCATAACTGGGACTGATTGCCATGGTCCATGATTCACAAGTCTCTGAGGGTCATCTAACAAACAGGAGTTCATGGTCATAGAGGCAAGCTGAATCATAATCAATATTTGCAGTTTTTCTCTCAATACTTGGGTGAGATGCTCTCGTCCTGCTGTTAGATGAGCCCCAAGTGCCCTGTCCAAACTCAGGGAGAAGTGGGTTTTCACTGGCTCTACAGAAACAAAAGAATCAGTCTCATTGAAACATAATGGTTCTATGGCTCAAGTTGTGAATGGCCATGGCCTCTGCTGCACATCTTCTGAGGAGTCAGGGAGCTTGGAATGGTGGCACAAAACAAAGAGGGTTCACCTGACCCATAGTGGCAGGGGACACAAAAGTCAGAAAAAGACATGCCATGCTCTTTTGTAACCACCATCTCTCTTGAGAACTCAAGATGTGAGAACACACTCATTAAAACCAATAGGCAGGATTACCCCATTACCAACATTGGCCATGAAACCCAATTTTTGACACTGGAGATGGCTTTCCAACCTGAGATGTGAGGGTACACACATTCAAGCTTGCCCTTTGTTTACTTGGTTTCTGGGCCTGGAGGACAGTCAGTCTTTGGCCTACAGGACAGGTTTCACATGACCATGTATCTCATCACAATGTCTTTTGGAGGAAATGCTTTGGCACATCCATAGGGATGTGAGGCAGCATCCCTATGGAATTTCCAGGCTGCTTGTTGACACACCCTGTCTTCCTCCTTTTCACGTAGATCCTGGCCTCAGTGATAATGTTGGGAATAAACTGCTGGCCCTAGGATAAAGAGTTTCAGCCAGTTGCCTGGCTTTGACTCCACTGAAAGACAAACACTCTCCAGAACTTTGGTCCCTTGTGTTGACTTGTGGTGAACATATGGGCATCCTTGAAATGGATGTGGGGAAGGAAGATCCTTGGCTTGGTAAATGATGAGAACTTTATATTGTCTGAAGAGAGGTGATGACATAAAAATCATGCTCAATAGAATTACACTGAGGCCCAGCCTATGTGACAGTTGTGGAAACAGACATGAGGATGATGATGACCCTGGCATGGCTATTGTCTTTGGGTTGGAGAACTCTGAGACCTGGAGGCCATCTTGGGGTGTGCAAACCCTTAATGTACTCTTCCACAAATTGCCCAAATTGATCATTACATCTTGACCCCTTCCCAAGAAGCAGGGCACTTTAGCAGCCCCTTCCTTACCTCCCAATCTCTCTTTGTGTCTTTCAGTGGAATGTTCTGCCCAGTACTGCCCCATGGCACGCACTGTTAAACCCAGAATTCAAATCCGAGAGAGAGACCACAAAGAGCCAGCTCCAATGCAAACACACGAGGGTCTTTATTCAGGCTCAAGTCTGGGCTCACGTATGAAGCTGGCAGTGGCTTCAGGGACGAGAGCCCTGATCCAGTATGGCAAGCAGTTTTTATGCACAATTACAGAGGGAGGGGAAAGAACTTTAAACTTGATTTTACATGATTGGGTAATTTCTCCTAATGGGTACGGGAACACTTGGTATTGGTAGGTGCCTTTCGTGG